TTAATATGTAATGTAAATAAATAAATTGATAAATGTGTGTGCAGTTTCTTTTAATTATTATTTTAATTATTATATAATATTTTTTATATTTTTTTTTATTATAATTTTTTTTATAGATATTAGTTAGTGAACTACATTCATTGGTGGGATATTTATTAGCGATATAAAAGCGATATAAAATAATATTAATTAAATAAATGAAATGAAATGAAATTATAAATCATAATATATACTTAGTTACGTACGTACACACATAGCACCGGTCGGGTTTCTAGTACAACGTGCGCGCGGGCGCACCGGAGGCCGTCGTCGGTCGTTAGAGTCACTGAGCGCATTAATGTTTCTAGTAGAGCGTTGAGTGTCGGTTTTAATTTTATGATTGATGTGTACATTAATATGTAATGTAAATAAATAAATTGATAAATGTGTGTGCAGTTTCTTTTAATTATTATTTTAATTATTATATAATATTTTTTATATTTTTTTTTATTATAATTTTTTTTATAGATATTAGTTAGTGAACTACATTCATTGGTGGGATATTTATTAGCGATATAAAAGCGATATAAAATAATATTAATTAAATAAATGAAATGAAATGAAATTATAAATCATAATATATACTTAGTTACGTACGTACACACATAGCACCGGTCGGGTTTCTAGTACAACGTGCGCGCGGGCGCACCGGAGGCCGTCGTCGGTCGTTAGAGTCACTGAGCGCATTAATGTTTCTAGTAGAGCGTTGAGTGTCGGTTTTAATTTTATGATTGATGTGTACATTAATATGTAATGTAAATAAATAAATTGATAAATGTGTGTGCAGTTTCTTTTAATTATTTTATAATATTGTTTATATTTTTTTTTTATTATTATTTTTTTTATAGATATTAGTTAGTGAACTACATTCATTGGTGGGATATTTATTAGCGATATAAAAGCGATATAAAATAATATTAATTAAATAAATGAAATGAAATGAAATTATAAATAATAATATATACTTAGTTACGTACGTACACACATAGCACCGGTCGGGTTTCTAGTACAACGTGCGCGCGGGCGCACCGGAGGCCGTCGTCGGTCGTTAGAGTCACTGAGCGCATTAATGTTTCTAGTAGAGCGTTGAGTGTCGGTTTTAATTTTATGATTGATGTGTACATTAATATGTAATGTAAATAAATAAATTGATAAATGTGTGTGCAGTTTCTTTTAATTATTTTATAATATTGTTTATATTTTTTTTTATTATTATTTTTTTTATAGATATTAGTTAGTGAACTACATTCATTGGTGGGATATTTATTAGCGATATAAAATAATATTAATTAAATAAATGAAATGAAATGAAATTATAAATAATAATATATACTTAGTTACGTACGTACACACATAGCACCGGTCGGGTTTCTAGTACAACGTGCGCGCGGGCGCACCGGAGGCCGTCGTCGGTCGTTAGAGTCACTGAGCGCATTAATGTTTCTAGTAGAGCGTTGAGTGTCGGTTTTAATTTTATGATTGATGTGTACATTAATATGTAATGTAAATAAATAAATTGATAAATGTGTGTGCAGTTTCTTTTAATTATTTTATAATATTGTTTATATTTTTTTTTATTATTATTTTTTTTATAGATATTAGTTAGTGAACTACATTCATTGGTGGGATATTTATTAGCGATATAAAAGCGATATAAAATAATATTAATTAAATAAATGAAATGA